TAGGTACGACTCACTTTATCCTTATGGTGGGGACAGTTCCAAAATTGAGAAAACGAAACCGAATGTCTATGTACTTCATTGGGTTGTTGGGTACTGACTTTCGCCCTAAGAGGAGTCGGAAAACTCTGATTCCAAACCAATGATGCACATTGGCTCCAGAGAGAACAACTAGCAGACAAACTTATTCGTGATCACCGGCTATGATAGAATTGCATCTTCTGACATTCTCCATCTTACTATGGATTAGATCTGTAGGTTAAAGTCTCGATGAGTAGCCATTTAAGAAAAGCAATTGTTTCAGTTTTGACATCCTGGTAGTTTCTGTTGAGGACGTTAGATCCCCAGAACTAACTTGATAAATGCCTTATTTTGGATCTCACGTTTGCGAGTATGAGCTGATCAGTTGACCACACACATGTTCAATGATTAGTGTGTAGCAAATATTTATTTAGATGCTCTTTTATACTAACAATTAAATCAGCTAGCTCAGAAAACTTATTCTGATAGAGACTGAAAACAATCGTTTTTAATATACATATGCAAATGAAGTTTGTATGTTGTAAATCGTTTATATTTTTTTTATTCAGTAAAAATCTTGTTTAAACTTGTTCTGTTTTAGAGTTGTGATGATTGTTGAGTTTCATTGAAATCATGAACTCATCCCGGGTTCGAATCCTGCGAGGAGCAGGAGTCGTGAATGCGCGCTGCTGATGAGTCCCATACCAGCACGAAACGGCCGTCCAGTGCTTCCAGGTTTCTGATGGTGGTCTAACAATGATTGATTGATGATTTCAAATGTATAAGCATTAGATGGGTGTTTCATTGTAGTATGAGACTTATCACTAAAAGTTTACTGAAATCAAGTATATTATTCTACTCATATGGTATGGTATGTTTTTTTTTGTCAAAGCAAATCTCCTAAAAATTTGAGAGATAGTTTAAATAACTTAAACAGTAGCTTAGTAAACTATTATTGTCTAGTAATTAAATCCACTCACAGCATTCATCATGTAACATCATACAAATAAAAATAGGGAATAATTTCTTCCTAGTTAAATATATATATATATATTTATATCTGTAACAAAAATTGATTTTTGTCACAAATATTTAAATTTTCACCATTTTCAAGTCATAAAATTCACACGTTCATTATTTTGAACTTGAACGAATTTCTACTTAGTTTATTCAATCAATAATCAATCATGTGTGTAGAATGAAATCAATTTTTTTAATTAAAACAAAGAAAAAATTTAATTGTTGGAAATTTGTTTGAAAAATTGTAACAAATTATATATATTTTTTTTTATTTGTTGTATAGATTATCTAATTTACCGAATAATAGTTTTCTTTCAGTAAAAAAAAGTATTTTTCTAACCTTATTCAATTCAATATCAATTATTACAAATGTGTTGATTATTTATTACATTTACAGTTGAAAGTATGATCAAATTATGTATGGACTTGTGAATATTCAATTAGTATATAAAGTGTAATTTTGTTCATTGACAATTCACTGTTTAGTTGTTATGGTGGATTTATGTATTAAGGTAGATAAAATGATATTAAATTGTTTGAATGTTTGATATTTTTTGAAAAGAAAAAAAAACATGATTTTAACTATCTTCAATAATGTTTGCTCTTTTATTTGTAAATGTACATCTTCCTTCCTTTTTTTTTGTCTTAGTTACTCTTGGTAACATTATGTCTACAAATCATCCGCTGTGAAAGTGAAATTCATGTTGTCGCTCAAGGTATGTTTGTTTGTTTGTAATAAAAATATATTATCTTTTATGTAATTTTGTTTTAATGTATAATTCATGAAATTTTAAAATTGCAAGGGTAGATTTTATATTTTTTTTGGTCAAGATTGTAGTGATTGCTTGCTTGGTATATGATGAAAGTCAATTTTTACCTTGAATTAGTCAAATTTAGCAAAAACCGACTGTCATTAACCAATCATGTTTTATTTACTAGTAATCTGTTTTCAAATATTCTAGTTTAATGTTATAAATTAGTTAAAAATCAAGCCAAGAGTAACAATTAGATTAGTGAAATAGTTCACATAAGAAGTAGTCATTCAATCGATTCAAACGGATACAATTGAGTAGAATTCAAAAGTAAGTGATTTATTGTGACTGATTGAGTAATATATATATACTGTTGATTAGAAGATTTGTTAATTATCTACTGTGGATGCTTGTAACCATTCAGAATGCAATTTGTGTTGTACTGAAGAAATATATATGCACATTTTAGCATAGGCATGAAAAAAAGTGATAAAGCTGAAAACAAAAGAAGACATGAACCGAAGACATAACAAGCACACAAAATGCATTTATTTAACATTTAATAAGAATATCAATCAATAACAACAACAACAACAACAACGAGTGACCAGCATAATTTGAGATTCAGAGAATCTGGAACTTGAGATTATGAGTGAATAGCATTTAATCTATTAATTAGTTTGACAATTCTATTGAACTGTAATTACAATCATATGTTTATACTAACATTGACTCAATGGTCTAGAGGTCAGTCGTTCATGTGCAAGCCCGAATGTCCTAAGTTCAATTCCTACCTATGGAGTTAGTGGAGGAGTTTCATAGTAGGACAAAACTGCCATCCAGTGCTCGCAGGTTTCTAATGGTGGCCTGGTAGCTAAGATCAGTTCATAATCTCAACTATGAAATTGATACAGTCTGGAACAAATCACCTTTATGAATATAGTTGATTTATCAAAAGAAAATTATTTTCGAATAATTAATGACATATTATATTATAAACAAAAAAGAAGAACTTGAAATAAAATTTTATACAATTTTTGATATGATTATTAAAATATTTATATTAGATCTAATGTCTGATGAATACATTATGGGATTGTGGAGATTATTGAGTTGTTTATTGAAATCATGAATCGATCAATGTTAGACCACTATCAGAAACCTGGAAGCACTGGACGGACTTTTCGTCCTGGTAGAGGACTTATCAGCAGAGTGCCTACTGGACTCCTGCACCTCACAGGATTCCAACCAAGGACCTTCGGTTTTGTGCGCAAACGTCTAAACTCTGAACTACTGAGCTTATATCTAACGGTGTTAATATCTAACTTCGATCAATTCACGGTCTTGAGCAACCTCATTCACTGTCTTCGCTAATCACTGCTTCACACTCGAATAGGGCTGGGCTTCTAGAGGTTAGGCATTTGTACACAAAGCCGGACGCCCTAGATCCGAATCCTGCAAGGTGCAAGAGTCGTGTATGCACACTGCTGACAAGTCCCGTACAAGGACGAAACGACCATCCAGTGCTTCCAGTTTTCTAATGAGGTGGCCTAACATTGTTCGAGTCATGATTTCAAAAAGTTTAATGAATGATCAATTGGATCAATAATCATTGTAGATTTTTTTTTAATTTAAAGAGAATTTTTCAAAAAATCTCTACTTTTAGATTTTGTAATGTGCAATATGATACAAAGTTTAATTTACTCTCTGAAGACTGTTCATACTCGATCATGATGCTTTTGATGTGATGTACACTAATTTTTATTGTTATGTAATCATTCGAACAGAATAGTCTATGATTAAATTTAATACTGAAAAATTTACAAATTTCATCATGAAAATTCACACTTTTTCAAACAATAACAAAATATAAGTGAAGCATTAGTTGTAACTAATGAAAAGACCATTAATGGATTGATTTTATAATCGAATACAGATTTCTCTTTCAATTAGAATATACTATAGCTCTGCATCGTCATTGTATATAACGTGATAAGATGTTAACTATTTACCCTGATCTGGTATTTATATTAACCTATGCGAATAATTGCGAATGTAGTTCCATACGATAGTTATCAGCCTAAGGAAATGGAAGATAGTCACGTAGTATTGTGAAGTGAAGTTAGATATTAATGCAATTAAATACAAGCTCTGTGGCATAGAGGTTAGATGCTAGTGCTAGGGACAGAGGTTCACGGGCTTAATTCTCTGTGTCAAAGTCATGAATGACCACGGCTTAGGAATCCCATAATGGAAAGAAATAACTGTCCTGTGTTAGTCACACTAGCGTTCCCATGACGGTTTACTCATATTCAGTTCATGATTTAAAAGCTGTCAAAAATTACTTTTTTCATTAAAAATATCGATAATTTCATTGTTATTTATCTGTTATATAGTTTCATATTTTGCTCTTTTTTTAAAAAAGTTGGTAAAAGTGCTTTGTCCAACGAGTCGACAAATGCTACATCAATTCCTAATCCAGTAAAATCAGTTTCCCTACATTTTTGTCGATCAGCAAGAGGAGTCAATCAGTCTGATCCAAATTCTGGTAAGAAATTTTTAACAATTGTTTGCTTTTTGATTGATAAATCTTGTGTGACGACTGAACAATATCACTTGATTAGAGTATACTCTATTTCGCGTCCACTATTTAGTGTATGGCTAAGCATATCTGGTTTAATAAATTACATATCTACCCCTTACAATTCACAGCTAGTCAACAGTTAGGTTCTTAGGGGTCCACGGTTCTCTAGGTTCTCTTTGCAACCATTCCACTTCTGTCCACAAGTCAACAACCAGTTTCTCATCCTATATTCATGGTTTAAGCAGACAGTTTACATATACGCAGACGACATCACATCACACCATAAAATCAAAAATAACAACTATATATAAACATGACAAAAAGGTGGTTGTGAACAGGGGAGACTGTAGTGAATATACTGACAACAGATTGTCAATAGTGAATCGTTTAATAATATTTAATGCGTCAACCGAAGTTTTATGATAAGTGGAATGTATGTACACAGTAATCTAGAATCTTGATAATTCTACCTCAAGAATATAAAGATTTTAATGATAATAATACATAAATTAGTTCTGAGAATTACCATCCCTTCAATCTCTGTTCTGGCATAACAATAAACTCATCGAAAATTTAATTAATGCATAGAATAAAAAATTATAATTTATTATTTTTAGCAGTATATTTAAACAATAAATACGTCGTTAAATAAGTTTCCATTCAGGGAAATTTATGATCATTCATGTAACTATTACTATCATTGATTGGGAACAATTATTATCAAATTTAGTAAGACATTTTAACTGACCATTCAATTAGCAGTTTGTCAACTGCAGATCAAGGCATAAAACAAGTAGATTTGTCTTAGATTAGATATTACGTATTTACATGACCTCAAATAAATATCACAATTGCTACATATACTACACTGAATGATGATACTGTTCTGATAACTAATTATCTTATTACTGGTTGTGTAGCAATCGATTTTGTCACATGCCAATGTGACTTTTTGTCCAGATGAATTATTGTGGTCTTCCTACTTGTTCTACCAACATATGTGACCTTGAGTCGGTGTGCATGATAGAGCTATGTGTGTCTGTATACTTCACATATCCGTCTTTCACTCTAATAAATGCTGAGTCACCCATAACTGTTAATTGATCTGATTTTCTATCATCCTGGGCCATATTCACATTTGTTTGGTCCCGTTGTTTGTTCGTATTATCGAACTCTTGGATTATATATTTCTCAATTTAACCATATGCTCGACTTGTCATATCTATTGACAAAATTTTTCGACTGAATATACATGAAGGTAGGGCATGTACTTCTTCAATATTGTTCGTCATAATAACAACTACCGGTGATAATGTCACATATTGATTATCAAATTGTGATATGCGCACTAATGTAAACGAACCGATACACTGCAGTGATTTTTTTTTGAATACTAAGTTGTTAAAAACAATAAACAGAAAGTTCTGGTTATAAACTTGGTGTTGGTTGGAAGTCAAATTAAAGGCTTATTTAGAAATTTCATGCAATTGACTGTAATTGTTGTTGATGATGAGGATTTGAATCCTACTAAGATTATCTATTTGCCTAGTATGATGAGTATCAACTCTCTTGAAATATGAATCTACCAGCTTTCATTCAATTGCCTCTATTTCAACTAATCTACGTATTCAGTGTTTTGACATTGATTAATGTTTACCAATTAGAATCCTGTAGTATTAAACTCTCAGATTGTTAATGATTAGCTTTCCTTTGAGTCTGATATAATCTTAACTCTTACTAGTCTGGGAAAGAAAACATCAATATTACAAAACATTTGAAGAATTGTTTTTAATCAACAAATTTTTCGATGAAAGACAAGTATTTATCCATGATGAGAATAATAAATTCATACAAGTGTACATTAAAATAAATATTTCTTCTTACTACCACTTTTTTTTATCTGACCACAGTACCTAAGAACATAAGGGATATTAGACATAATATTCCAATTGCACCTTTAACTCCAAAAGATCATGAACTTAAATCAATCTCCATTAATTTTGATGCTAAATGTTTACCGAAATCCAATGCATGTAAGTTAACTGAATGTTAATTATGTATGTAGTATTTTAATGCTGTTGTTATTTATTTAGTTGATGATACTGATCTCTTTTAATTAAAAATTTTGTTAAATTCAATGTAAAAAAACATGCAATTCAATGTTTTTTTCTTACTTACTTACTTACTTACGCCTGTTACCCCCAATGGAGCATAGGCCGCACACCAGTTTTCTCCAACCAACTCTGTCCTGGGCTTCTCTCTCCAGTTCTGTCCAATGTTTGTTCATTCCTCTCATATCTTTCTCTATTTCTCGAAGTAATGTATCCTTTGGTCTTCCTCTTTTCCTTTTGCCTTGAGGGTTCCATGTGAGGGCTTGTCTCGTGACGCAGTTAGGTGCTTTTCGTAGTGTGTCCTATCCACTTCCACCGCTTCTTCCTGATTTCCTCATCCACTGGAATCTGGTTTGTTCTCTCCCACAGTTCGTTGTTGCTGATGGTGTCTGGCCAGCGAATACGAAGTATTTTGCGTAGACAACTGTTAATAAACACTTGTATCTTCTGGATGATGGCTTTCATAGTTCTCCATGTTTCCGCTCCATACAGTAGAACTGTCTTGACATTTGTATTGAAAATCCTGATTTTGGTTTTGTTTGAAAGTTGTTTGGAGTTCCAGATATTTTTCAGCTGTAGAAATGCAGCCCTTGCTTTGCCAATCCGTGCCCTCACATCTGCATCGGATCCACCTTGGTTGTCGATGATGCTGCCCAGACATGTAAAGGTGTTAACGTCCTCCAAGGCATCTCCATCAAGAGTGATTTGGTTGGTGCATGTTGTGTTGTATCGGAGAATTTTGCTTTTTCCTTTATGTATGTTGAGACCTAGTGCTGCAGAGGCTGCTGCTACACTGGTCGTCTATAATTAAAACAGTTAGAAATGAACAAGTTTGAAAGTTATATTCTCAATTGAAAATCATCATTTTACATTGATTAATTAGTATTTATGATTTCAGAGATTTTATTGTGAGAATTCACTAAACGATTCTATCCTAATGACTGTAAACAGAATATTACATTCAAATTAAACAAATCATAAATTGATACCTATTTTTCTAGTATAGTAAAGTTGATACGAATAGTAATATTTCATTTCCAGTACATATAACTGATTTAAAATTGTCTTAAGTGTTAATGAATGAAAAAAATTGTTTAAGCAGTAGATTTTCCCCTGTCTGTTACATCAATATGAAGCATCATTTCGGAACTAATGATCTTTTTTGTTGTTGAAAGGACTAGTATATCTTGTTGATATATGAACAGTAGTATATCAAGACTGTTTCTATTGTTATATTCAATTGTTTTGCAACTAGACATATGTATCAAGTTGTTTTATGATTCATTGTTTGGGATTATTGGGATTATTTAAGCTTACTTAGGACGATATGAGTGTAAAATATCTGCAAATAGGGAAGTTTAGTGAATGGGCACAATGATAGTAATGACGAAACGCTTATTATTTCTATAATCTCACTAAAGGAATGGGATATACTTAAAGGTGTAAGCATATTTAAAGTATCATTAGAGGACTGGTAGACACTGGTAGACAAGTGGAAAATAATCAGAAGGAATGTTTTCCACAAGTAGATTAATGTAAATTATTCCAATGTCTCGAAAAATTACTAGTGAAGTAATTCATAAAGACTGCTGGATACTACAACTAGTCGCTTCTGTATATTGGATAGTATCATTGAATGTAAAAGGTTAATTATTAAGTATTTTGAGGGAAAAGATGGGATTCGTTGTTATACTAGAAAAAAGATCGAAGAGATGGTAATTCTCAGAACTAATTTATGTATTATCATCTTTAAAATCTTTATATTCTTAAGGGAGAATTATAAAGATAATAGATTGCTGACTATATAAATCCCAATTATCATAAAACTTCGGTTGACGCATTAACTATTATTAAAAGATTCACTATTGACAATCTGTTGTTAGTATATTCATTACAGTCTCCTCTATTCACAACCAATTTTTGTCATGTTCATATATAGTTGTTATTTTTGATTTTATGGTGTGATGTGATGTCGTCTGTTTGTATGCAAACTATGTCTTCTTGAACCTTGAATATAGTATGAGAGACTAGTTGTTGACTTGTGGACAGAAGTGGATTGGTTGCAGAGAGAACCTAGAGAACCGTGGACTCCTAAGAACCTAACTGTTGACTGGCGGTAATTAGTGAGGTGTAGATACGTAACTTATCAAATCAGCGGCATAATCGAAATTAGTTTAAATCCTTGTCTTAATAAAGAATTCAATCCAAGCATATTACATCTAAAATTACAGTTTAAAATACAATTATTCCTAATTATATAAACTGTAAAACATCTCTGAACGGATTTATGTCTTAATTTGTCTCTCATGCGTTCAATATTAAGAACAAAAGTTCAATACTCTAGGATTAATCGAATCGACACTTAACATAGAGAGGAGTCATTGTTTGAGATGTTACTTTGTATACAACCAAGAATTCTATTCGGTGATCTTTTGTTACTGAGAAGGATAAACTGCAGTAATGGCTATGTGTTAAATCCACAACTGTAAGAAACTTGTAGAACAACTTTCCATTTATGGTAATGTCTAAGTTGAGGTATTATGGATTACCAAAACAAATCCATTGACATTTAGCAATGTTGTATTTGAACTTTCATTTTGTACATCCCTGAACTCTATTAATCAGCTCCATATCAGTACAATCTTGTATATAATTCAGCTGATAAAGATAAAATGAACTTAAGATTTTTAAACGATACAAATTCGTCATCAACATCATTATCAGAGAGAAATCGTTGGCTACAATTAAGTGAATAATAATGAAATTGCTGTATATACTACATTGAACATTCATCATTGTTGAAAAGCAAAGCACAATGGTCAACGTTTTTGTTTTACATATCTATATGAAACTGTTTAACAATGCATTTTAATCAACATACACCAGGAATGAAATTCCAAAATATGTATATAACACTTCTAGCAAATGTTTCATGCTCAAATTATCATCTTATTTCAAATTATATTTAACGCAATAATATATAATTTTTGGTGTTAAATATGTTTACAAAACTTATTAATTATTTGTAATTTCAATTATTTTTTTTTCTTCTCAATGATAATTCTTTTATTTCGTGATAAAAAAAATATAGCATTGAAAAATGTAGATCAAATTAAAATTGACAGCTATGCAAATGTAACTCATGGACAAGATGACAAGATAAATAATCATTCATCAATTATGATGCATGCACAATATAATCAACCTTTAAATCAACAATTAGGTTAGTTATTTTGTTAGTTAATTAGTTATAGAATTTGAATGATAAATAAGTGAACATTTTATTCATGTTTTAATGAAAAATTTCTATGAAATTAACTCTACTGATGATCTGTAATCGATTCAGTTGAACTAATCTCTCTCTCTTATTAAGAGATAAGGAATTTATAAGGTTAGGATTTGAGAGAACACAATGACTGAATGCACCTGCGCCATCACAATTGATTTTGAGCCGTATCGTTCAAGGTCTCTAACCATTGGTGACTTTCGTCTCGTGGACCCCAACCAGGTAACCTACGTCTACCAACATGACTCAGTCCATTTGTTAATGATTTCATGGATTTCAGCCATGTTTTGGTTTTGCTGCCCTTAGCTTTCTTCCAACCTGATTCTACACCACAAAACATAGCTCGTCGAGGCAACCGGTGGTTGGGAATTTGTAACACATATCCCAACCACTTCAACTGATGAAGTTTCAGTACTTCATCTATTGATTTTACATCCTTATCTACTACACGTTTCCTAATCACAGTATTGCTTACTCGATTTTCCCATGATACACGAGCAATGCTTCTAAGACATCTATAACGAATACTAGTAACCAACGAATATTTTCTACTCTGACTGGCCATGTTTCGCATCCATGTAGTAGGACGGAGCGAACTGCTAAGCATTAAACTCAAACTTTGGTTAACAAATGGATATCTCGCCTACGCCATATGTGACGTAAATTGGCAAAAGCTAATCGAGTCTTCTGTATCTGTGCTGAGATTTCGTCAGTCAGCGCTGATGAAACTTCCGAAATAAGTGACGCGCTTGACACGGTCGACTACTTCACTCTCTATCACTAGTTCAGATGCCAACGCAAGCCAATCTTTAAGCAACATTTTGCACTTCGAGGTGGAAAACCTCATCCCAAACATGCTTGCATGGTTGCTTAGGGTAGTCAGAAGACTCTGCATTTTGTCAGCGTCTTCACTGAATAGGACTATGTCATCAGCATACTCTTAGTCAGCAAGCGTGTCTCCTGGTAGAAGGTCCACACCTGAAAAGTCGTGTCTGCGAAAAAGTTAAACAAGAATGGAGAGAGTGTACAACCCTGAAGGACACTACTACCTGAAGTAAAGAATTGCGATGACAGTTCGCCATAGGCTATCCTAATGGATTCGCCTAAATAAAATCTAAAACAATCAACCCTTATTATTATGATTTTGAAGGTATAAACAAATTAAAATATACAGAAAATGACTATGGACTTTGTTTTTATAGAGAGAAAAAAAGAAAAGCAGTAACTCAATAATGTGGTGTTTTATAAATTTGTTTATAATTTAGAAAACATTCAATAAGCTTACTAGTTTTTTTTTTCTTCATTATAGATTCATTAGTTGATTTTCCTGTGAAAATAAATCCTAAAGCTGCTTTAAATATTATTTCGGATATAAAAACGAAACGAATTGGAAAACGAATTGTGAAAAGAAGAAAAGAAATATCCGGTATGTGTAACAGTATAGTATTTATCTCATCTATTTATACTGAGTGTTCATTTTATTCATTCTGATAAATAGACTGATTTGTTTGGGTGTATTTGTCGAGATTGCAGAATGTTCATAGCTTTAATCACGAACCGTAACTTTGAATGGCCATTCCGTCCTAGTTTGGCACTTCCTAATGGCATGAATTCATGACGTTACGACAGTGAATCCAATTGAGGAACTACATGTTAGGATATTCATCTGGAGTGTGCCTATAACTGCGTGTTCTTAAGCTCGGTTTATAAATCAGAACATGAACTCCAAGTATCCTATACGTTTATTCGAGGCACACCACATAGCGAATTGAAGAAGCGAATTGGAGAAGGCTAAGAGCCAACTCAAAGAGATAGAGTATGACTAAGAATATATAGTCAGATAAGAATAAGACAGACATATGACAAGCGAAATAGGTATGCACACACATGAATAAAAGCGACGAATGATTGACAAGGTCAAAAGCAAGCGATACAAATCATGTGAGTTCATGGGAATATTACGAGATTAACATTAAAGCGAAAAGTATGAATATGCGCGCAAGTGTAAACAATGTTCAATCATACCAGCGCATACAAACCACACAATAATAAAAGCCAATGGTACATATAAGTTATTGTTTTACAAATGGCTTGGTTAAATAAATTAATCGAAAGGGCTTAACCAAGTTAGATGTGAGAGAACTGAAATATATGTGGAGGCACTACACATCAAATATCCTATGAGAATTATTGGTCTATTCCTATTGGTTAATTCCTACTGGTCAATTTTATGGTCGTCCCAGCTATCAATGTCACAGATTTCGATGCTGTTTTCTATTCGACCGAAATGTATAAATACGCATTATCTGTAACGTTTTAGGACTCAGACCCGGATCCCTAGTCTGGGATCCTGATTCTCTTCTGGATTCGGGCCTCGTACTTTCTGGATGTTTGTAGAATACAGGTTCTACTTCATATCAAGTCTTCTTCTTTTACTCAATCGGGGTTTAGATTAGAGTAGCATGTCGTGTCGCCGGATTCTCGATCCTCACTATCGTTTTCCTACTAAGGTAAACTCGTCATAGTTTAAGCATATCAAATTGACATGTTTACGTGGATTCGTAGCACTACAGTCTTGTGCTGAGACATTCAACTTCTAAACTAATTAAACTGAAATTCAACGGTATAAATAACTCTGAAGAATATTGAAAAGTTTTAATTGTTAAAAAAAACAATATTGAATAATTTGTTTAGTTCGATAATTGAAAATTAATCCATAAGAAAAAATATATTCATTATTTTTAAATTAAAAAAAAAGTTTCTAATTATGTTTTGATTACAATAATTTCAATATCTATAGTAGATATTTTTGTTACTTGTACATTTTAAATGATCTTTTTCGAAATTTCTTGATTCCCAATACATTTTATTCAATAATTTAACAAGGTGAAAGTGTAAGTAATGATCAGAAGAATGTGAAAATTATTAAACGACGCATGAAGCGTATTTTTGAACGAATACATTCAAAAGGATCTAGTGAGTTATTGTTTTATTGTGGTTACTTCATACATCTATTAATGATCATACATATTATTGAATTAATGAATAAGTTAGTTAGTTTTCTATCAACATTGATCCAAATTGGCATATCACATGTACACGATTAGACAAAATTTAATTTTAACGCATTCGCAACTATGTCACATAAAATCTTGAATCGTTGATTGCATTATCCCTCAGCTTCATGGTTTATCATTTATCAATATGGTTCATAATTTACAGTCAATGACTTCATGAACTTCATGAACCAAGTTTTGAATTGACTTACTCTAAACTAATTTTTCAATGTCTTTTCACACTAGAAAACATTTCTTATTAAAGTAAACAATAGTAGTTAAGCATAATGAAACAAACATATTCCAATCAACTCAATTGATGAAAATTACCAATGAAAATTACATTCTTATACTTATTTTAAATAGACATTGTTTAAAACTATTATGATAAAATCTAACCAAATAAATATTCAATAAACATTAAAAAAAAAACTCTGGAAATACTGAGTAATTGTTTACTACTAACAACTACTAACTCTTCAGCAATGCATATTTGAAGGTAAAGCATAGGCGTTTCGGTTTCACAATGAGTAATTAACTACTTGAATACTAAGCTGAGACTCAACATAGTATCAATTAAATTCTTATCAGTTTGTTATATATATATAAAGAACGACCATATTCCATTTGGCTTAGTGCATAACTATTTCATACATATATAACATGACTGAAATCAATTAGTCCCAGTTACTCGTTGAAATTCACTGCATTGTTCTTATAAAAGCTAATTCATTAGTGATCACACGATAAGTATTAGTATAATGAGGATTGTGATGATGATTGAATTATCATGGTTTGTATTATGAATTAGATTTAATACTGTCTAGTGCCTTTGCATTTACAACTATTGTCTTGCGTGCTGTTACGGGTATGAGGGCGGTTGTCACTTCCCGGCTGCCCATACCGTGGAAGGTTGTTTCTTGAGGGACCTGAAAAGGAAGATGGATTAGTGTTGGTGCGTGACCGCAGAGCCCAAGGGACAACTGCTTGAGGCCGGTCACGCACGGCCTTTTTATGAAAGGTGTTCTGAGTATTAGCTCTGCTGTTGAAAGCCCCTTAGTGGGACACCCTTACCACCGGAGACGGTATTCCGTGAGGTAGGGTGAGTTGTGACATTTTGAAGGCCGACCTTTTCGAACCTTTCCTTGTGAGAGGTCAGCATCGCTGCAGATGCTGGTTGTCCGAGGGAAACACCTTACTGCTGTCACACCCCTCTGCAGTCAGCAGTACGACTTCGCCCTCAGACCTTGGGTAGCTGCTTTTAGTCTCATCGTCCTCCAATCGACCTGCCTGGCATGATAGGACCTGCAGGAACATATGTTCCAGCCAGTATAGCTCGGTTGGGTGATCACGATAGGCAAGCCCGACCACCACGTCAAGGTAGCAGCTACCCCAACCCTAACCTCTCCGATTACTTCTAATTCCCTTACTACCTCTACTACTATTGGATTTGAATTGACAATTACTTCTCTGTGCTGATATGGTATGGCAACATGAACTGATGTACTTACGTACCAAGTTCTACGTTGCATCTGACTGACTGACTGACAACTATTGTCTTATTAAGATTAGTTTGTTATATGAACTATGAAAATTCAATAATCTCTAGAAACTTCACATATTAACAATCCCAATTAATTTATACAAAACCATTATTATTCTTTGAATGACTTGTACTTTCAGTATGGAATGAACAAACTCAATACATTTCAAGTCAATTAGATTTTTTTTCTCATTTGAAACTAACCTATTCGTTAATTGTTTCATTTCTTTTAAAAAAAAAATATAAACCACGAAAACTAATAATGATCACATTATTATGAGTATGACTCACCAGAAATAATTCTAATCTTTAAAATAATCCAATTAATCAATTTGTTTTCTACTTTTAACTTTAAAAATAAAAGTCAAAGGAGGAGCTTCATTGCGGGTAAAACAAAAAAAGATTACCAAAGATGAAGATCATGATTCATTGAAAGATTGGAAACGTTTAATTCGTGATAAGAAAGAAGATATGAAACGTGTATTGATTAGTAAGTGTTTTTTGAATTGTTGCAGAATCTCAGTGGAAACTAATAAGCGCTAAATTATTCTTTGATTAAAAGTACTCAGTAGTGATTATATAACTAATATTTACAATCTGGAAATTTGATTCTTTCTAGGAAAATGAATTATTATATCTTATCATCTTATTAATAGGATTTCAGTAGTGATTCACAAAACTAAAGTCATTTAATACATGATGATGAGATGTGATGTGTGTTTCCAGTGAATAAATATATCTACTGGATGTTATAGTGACAGTTGAAAAAAATGTAATGATTTATTATTTCATAGAATAGATATTTATTATATTGATATTGTTTAAGACAGTTATTTATTTATTTTTTTTTGAGTTTAAAATTTATTGATTTTTATTATTATTATTTAATATTTTCAGGACGAGTTAAAGTAAAAAAGAACGCTGTGGAAGCTGAAAGAGAATCCGAAAAATCTAGAAAGAGAGTTATAGTGAAAAAAATCAGACGTCGTGTGAAGAAAACAGCCGATGATGCAAAAGAACGTCTTCGTATCAGTAAGTTAGCTCATTAGTTCCATTTTTTTTTTAAAAAAAAGAAAGATAATATATGATCATAATTGTGTGAAATCATCGAAAGGAAACTCTGGACGTTAATATCATACCGGCAAACACTTATTGCCAAGATGTTTCTAAATTTTTAAAATATCTGTTGTTTCTTTGTGAATTTCAGCCTTCATAACTTATGTTTTACCATTGAGCTCTATCATTAAGCTACTTAGATTACAAATGATTAGTTGACGATTTTATAAAATACATTTCCTGTTTTTTCTAGTTTCCAATTATTGTCCAGACGAAGTTGGCTCATGGTTTAAACTAATAAACTATTTCAAAATCTCTTAATAACTGACCACTGACTCGATATAGAATAGATGAGGGTTCAAATAGATGTGGAATTTAGAATGCACGTTTTGTTCTATTTAGGGACTGGTCAACTGAATGAACTTGCATTCCAGATTTTCCAAACAGTACTAGGTTCGAGTCCCAATGTGGTAATAAATTCAGGGAGGCAGGTAGATTCAATTGGCCATTTTCAAAACGACAGTCTTGGATTTCAAATTTATGCACATTCCATCTATCTTGCATCAACTTGTATCATATTGGCTTTATTTAAGTAATCGGCAAAGCATACCCATAAGTCAATTAAGATAAATCAAATTTCAGTCAAACTAATCATCAATCGAAATAATTAAAAATTCAATTGACCGCTATATTCTTTCTTGAATTCAGTCTTTTCTTTTTAAATATCAAATTATTTCTCAATGAAATTAAACAAACAAACTGAACAAGTTCAGAGATTTACAGACTAATAGATATTAGGAGAGTGAAAAAAGGTTGAAAAGATAATAAGTCATAACTACCCAGAGTATAAATTTGAATGATTATAAATAAACAAAACATGCTACTCAGATAAAAATTATCATTAATTATCCGTAATAACATATTATAATTTAAAGAGATACGCAGAAGAAAACGCATCAGAAAATCCACCTCAGTGAAAAAGATTAAGAAACATTTACGTAAACGAAAATGGCGATTCAGAAGACGACGGTTACGTCGAGGTAGGTTATCAAAATTTCTATATATATAGCATTATTACATAAAGAAAAAGTTACGGAGTAAGATAAATGTAAACGTACTGATGA